CAGGGTTGTGGTCGGCAGCCTCTGCAGCCCAGCAGAGTCTGCCAAGGTCTCGCTGGCGCTCGACAGCGCCCACCTACCCACAGAAGGAGAGGGGTGGTGGGCGGGTTTCAAACAACCCTGAACCCTAATCAGAAGCCAAAAGCCCCAACCCCGAAATCTCAAATCCAAACTCCGAGCCCAACCCCATAAACTCTAACTCCCCCACACTCTAAACCCAAACTCCCCTAAACCCTAAAACCCAAACTCCCCTAAACCCTAAACCCAAACTCCCCTAAACCCCAAACCCAAACTCCCCTAAACCCCAAACCCAAACTCCCCTAAACCCAAACTCCCCTAAACCCTAAACCCAAACTCCCCTAAACCCAAACTCCCCAAACTCCCTTAAACTCTAAACCCTAAACCCAAACTCCCCAAACTCCCCTAAAGCCCCAAAAAAAGCGCCCCCTGTCCGAAGTGCGATTTCGATCGCGGCGGGCCATCTCCAGGCTCAGGCAAAGCTCCTCCAGCTCCTGATGTGGCATGGTTTTAAGGCTTATAGGGATGTGGGTTTAGGGTATAGGGTTTCAGGGTTTAGAATGTAGAGTTTAGGGTTTAGGGCTTAGGGGTTTAGGGTTTTAGGGTTTAGGGTTTAGGGTTTGGGGTTTAGGGTTTTAAGGCTTATAGGGCTGTGGGTTTAGGGTTTAGGGTTTAGGGGTTTAGGGTTTAGGGCTTTAGGCCTTTAGGGCTTAGGGGTTTAGGGGTTTCGAGGTTTAGGAATTAGGGTTTAGAGTTTAGAGTTTAGGGTTTAGGGTGTAGGTTGCATGGTTTAGAATTTAGGGTTTCGGGGTTTAGGGTTTAGGGTTTAGGTTGGGCCCTCCGCCCAGCCACCAAACTATCTAAACATCCTAACCACTTAACCCTTCCGGCTTCGATGGATTAGCTAGTTTAGATAAATTGGGCCCTCCGCGCAACCCCCGAAGCCATCTAAACTATCTAAACCCTCCCGGTTCAGATAATTTAAATAGTTTGGCTTAAACTATCTAGACCCTCCCCGTCCCCTCTACCACCGGGACCCTCCCCAAACTATCTCAACTACGTAAACCCTCCGGGTCTAGCTGGTCCTCTGCCCGGCAGGGTTGAAAGAGATTAGATAGTTTAGCCCCTCCGCCCGTCCCTATTTAGACTAGTTTAACCCTCCCGCTATAGGCAGTTTAGATAGTTTGGGGCACCACCCGGAACCACGCAAACTATCTAAACTATCTAAATCTCAGTTTTCTGTTTACCTGGAGTATACCTACCCCAGACAGGAACGCCACATTATACACAAAGGTGCCTCATACATGTATAAATAGAAATAAACAAACATCTATATATATATATCTCTCTCTCTCTCTCTCCCTCCCTCGTCTCTTCTCTCACCCTCTCTCTCCCTCCCTCTGTCCCTCACGCTCTGACGGACTCAGTCACCTGCCACGCGTGACGCAGAACGTGGCTGCTTCGCTGTGCCCGCATACATAAGACTTTGTGCAGAAAGTGGAACTCTCGAGTCTACAGTGACCTCACATCGAGTACACAATCGCGTTGAATTTGCTTAATGCTCAGTTGAGTCATGTTCTGTAAGCTGTGGGTGTGCAGGATATGCTGCCGAAGAGTGCTCCCAAAGCACGGCAGAGGAGCATATCAGCTGCTGTGAATCATCGCGAGTGCTTACATATTCAACTCCGACATGCCGGCTGTTACCGATGGTCTAAGTTGCAGTTCCTTTTTGGGATAGCCTTGTTAGACCCTACATATATACTTGGTCTAACCAGACAGAGGGACTACAATGGAGACTGTCGGTAGTTTCCAAGGGTCAAAGGGCAAGCGGCCCGGATGGGTGAATCTGCGGCATGTCACAGGGTGTAGGGTTTAGGGTTTAGGGTTTAGGGTTTTTGGGATTTGAGTTTTTGTGTAGGGTTTGGGGTTTGGGATTTAGGGGGATCCAGTGGGTCAATGGTGCCTTGCTGACAACACCTGCACTTACTTCACTTCTTGAAGCCGAGTGCGGCCCGCTGTCATCTTCCAGCATAGATCCCTTTAACCCAAACTTTGAGCCCTAATACGAATCCTAAACCCTAAACCCCAAACCCTACTCATGCCTGAAGCCTTAAGCCCAAAACCGCAAAACCCCACAAAACGCTGAAGCCTGATGTGTCCCTGCCTGCTCACGGGAGAGCTCCAGCCTTGCCAAAAATGCGGATGCGTCGGCATTTGGTGCTTTCCAGGGTTTCGGGGCTTTGGGGTTTGGGGCTTGGTGCTTTTGGGGTTTTATGGCTTCGGGCTTCATGCTGTTGGGATTTATGGCTTGAGGCTTAGACTTAGACCCTCAACCCTAAACCCTAGGACTTAAGGCGTTTGGCGGGTTGGGTCTAGGGTTTGTTGCTGCGGGCCTAGGGCTTAGGGTTTACAGTTTGAATGTGGGCTTCAGGGACCTCGATGTTTGCCAAAACTTTCCGAAATGGTCGGAGAAGCCCTGGCATTGCCCGAGGTTCGAAGGCAGGCGTGGCAGCTGCTGATTTCGAAAAATCTGCTTGGGGAGTATCTTATGGCATGGTTACAACGGGGAATGTGTACAGTAATGGTGTAACTCGTTACTTCAGGCTTTTGTGCTATCTCTTTCGCTCTCTCGAATTATCTCGCGCGCGCTTCTTGATCGACCTACCAAGCACGCTCCTGATGTAGGGCCTTAAAAACTAGAATGGGGACTTGGGGGCTCCGTATTATAATCATAGTATAAGGCTTAGGCATTCGCTCAGTCGACCACGCCAGGGAGCTTGGAGGTATCATCAGCTTTGGACGGGCCACCCGAAATTCGGATCTGGTGCGGCGATGTCAAGCCTTGACCCCCTGGTTTGGCCGCTTGAAACGATCTCCTTGCACTTTCCGGGATAAGCTGCGAGCCTTACCGGCAAAGTTTTGGGCATACGCCTTGCACGGCATCGCGGGATGCCCATTGGCCGAAACCCACCTGGCATCCCTACGTGCCCAGGCCGTCCGAGCACTTCGTTGCAATACTGCAGGTTCGAGCTCCATGTTACGCCTTTCTACCTGTGGCACAATGGAGGCCGACCCTGGCTTCTACCAGCTTTGGTGTGTCTTGCGTGATTTGAGACGTTTGGCCATCAAGGATGATAAGGTGTTGCCATTGTGGACTGCTTTTATGTCCAGCTTTCAGGGGCAGCTTCTGCCCGGGCCTTTTTCCAAGTTGCTACAGGTTCTTGGTCAAATCGGCTGGCGGGTTGCCATGCCTCCGTGCATCGTTGACCACGACGGCTTTGAGCACAATCTCTTGCAGATGCCTCTGCCTTTGCTTCGTCAGCTTTGTGAGCAGGCATGGCTCAACTACGTAGCCTCCCGACATAGGCACAGGTCAGCAATGTGTGACTTGAACGGAATTGATCGTTCCCTTCTCGAGGCAGACGCAGGCCGACTCACTGCTTTGGATCAGGCTCGTTTAGCCGCTTTGCGTAGCGGCGCCTTCATGTTTGGCGCCAGTCTTTCCAAGTTTGACGCGACCAATGATGGACTATGCCCTTCCTGTGGGGTACCAGACACATCGGAGCACAGGGTTTGCCAATGCCCACGCTTTGCAGCCGCTCGCTCTCCGCTTGCCTGGGTATGTGCAGAGTGGCCCCACCTGCCTGTTTGTTTGCGGACCCACTTGCTGCCGCCGTGCAATCCGCATATGCATGCACTCCACGCTCAACTTTCGTTGCTCCCTGACCGCACAGCCCAGTTTGTCGGAACACGGTGCACCGATGGTCCGCAACATGTTTTCAGTGACGGTTCATGCCTGCTTGCAGCCACACCTGCCTTTGCCCTTGCGGCATGGGGATGTGTTAACGCATCCACCGGTGAAATCCTGGCGTGTGGCCCCGTGCCTGGACTTGCCCAAACGGCCCCAAGAGCCGAACTTTGTGGCGCAATTGCCAGCCTCAAGTGGGGACTCAAGGCGGAAGTTTCGCTGACGCTGTGGACGGACTCCACGATGGTGGGGCGGGGCATCCGTCGCCTGCTGGATGGAATTGAGGTACATGCTTCCGACAACCCCGATCTCTGGCAATTACTGGCCGAGCTCGTTGCAGAGTTTCCAGCGGGCCACTTGATGGTACAGCATGTTCCCTCCCATCTCGACCCTGCTCGAGGAACATCGCCATTTGAAGACTGGCTCATTGAGTGGAATGGCTACGCTGACACGGTGGCAGGTCTGACGAACCTCAATCGGCCTGAGGCTCTACGACTGGCACATGAACGTGCATTTGGCTGGCACTCGCATACATTGGCGGCACTCCGGGCACTACGTGGAATTTATTTTGGCATCGCCGACGCTACTTCGCTCCCGAATTGCGCCAACACCCTGGAAGTGGAACTGGAGGAGCCTGAACCTCCGCTGCAAGTAATGACGGTGGACTCCACGACCTCTTTCGTTGACGAGCTCCCGGTGTCTTGGCGACAGATCATTCAGGATGGCTGCCCTGATTTGCCAAGTTCTTTCCTGAAGCATCTGGGCGACTTTTTGGTCACGCAAAGTCAAGCGGATGGGCCATGGGGGACACCTCTCTTGGCTGGAGCTGGTCTTCATGATTCAGGTCACTGGTGCTCCTAGCTTTCCAGTGCGCGCCCTGACTTCAAATCGGTGGCTGAATAGTGCCGACGTTCCAATCGGTGCCCCTGCACTCACGGTAGCTGTACAGATGAGTCTCTTACGAAAGGCTCTGCGCAGGATCTTCACAGCCCTTCGGAGGAATGATCTTTTGGTGGATGGTATTTCTTTGGTTGAGTTTGGGATCGCTTTTCGAATTGGGGGCTTGTTGTTTCCTTCGGTACCTTCCCTCCGTCGGGCAGCTCACGAAAGGCTTTTTCAGTTTTGCATGGGCCGCAAGGTTTGTACAGTAGGTGACCTTGCCCGCTTGTGCTGACGGACTTCGGACTCTCGCTCGCGGTTCTGCCTTGCCGAGCCCGGGCGTGCAAGCTGTCTTTGATATAATCATAGTATAATAGACACCAAAACCCTATTCTGTTTTAGGCACCTATATTAAACTTTAGACTCTAGACCGTACTGAAGCTTTCCGAATCCAACCGCAACTTGGGCAGAAACTGTCACACTTTAAGAGTATCGCCCAAAACCCAGTTCTACTGATCCCACACACCTTAGTCAACCACCCGCTACAACGCTAGAAAACCCTACCCTAAACGAAATTCTGAGCCGCAAACCCTAAATCTTTAACCCCAACCTCTATACCCTAAACGTTACACTTAAACATTACATCCTACACCCCGGTGTAAGCTACATCTCCTATAGAGCCCTGTAAAAGGAAGCCTTTCAAAGGAACCCTGTCCTCGTTAAGGCCCCCATGTCAAATAGAGCCTAGTCTTTTGGGGGCCCCAAAAAGGACCTGACATAAGCACAAGCATTGTGCAAGGATATGCCTACCATATTGGTCTTCAGATAAGGGGATCTATCTGGGATAATGTTTTTTCGCCTAAACCGCAAACCCTAAACCCTTGAACCCAGACTCTGCCAAACCCTAAACCCTAAACCCTAAAGTCCCTAAGCTTTAAGCCTTAACTGTGTGCCCCGGCTCGGGGAGGCCGGCGCGCAGCCGGCGCGGTAGCCAAGGGCCGCCAAAGGCACCCAAAGTAAGGCCCATTTTCGCCTTCAGAGGTTCCTGTGAGGGCTGCATTCATCTAGGGCTCATAGGGCTTATAGGGCTCTAGGGGTTCAGGGTTTAGGGGTTCATGGGGGTTTAGGGGGTTTAGGGTTTAGGGTTCAGGGTTTAAGGGGTTTAGGGGTTTCGGGGTTCAGGGTTTAGGGGGTTTAGGGTGGCCGTTATTTCAGGGCCCCCGGGCTCCTTCTTTAAAGCCTGTAAAGGAATCCCTCTCCGTGGAAGGGCTCCTTTTCAGCTTGCGGTTAAGACAGGGGCCATGTAAATAAGAATTAGTCTAGGGGTTTTGGGGGGTATATTATACTATAACTACAATAAGGAACCCCCCAAAGAAGTATAATCATTTTAAGGCCTCTATATTAACTAAGCCTTCATACTTAGAATAGGATTTTGGGGTATACGGTATACTATACCATAACAAAAAATAATAGAATAAGGAACCCCCAAAAAAAGCATTGGTAATGTGTTTAGGCCCCTATACTAAACCCCTAACCCCCTAAACCCCTAAACCCCTAAACCCTGAACCCTGAACCCTAAGCCCTAAACCCTGAACCCTAAACCCTAAACCCTAACCCTTTATTAAACCCCTTTTCAGGCCCCTACATTCCGGGCTTCGGTTTAGGGCTTCAGCTCATGGGGCTCCTGTTCATGGATTCCTTGCATGATGAGTGCGGCTGCGACGGTTTAGGTTTTAGGGGTTTAGAGGGTTTAGGGGTTTAGGGTTTAGGGTTTAGGGTTTGGGGGTTTAGGGGTTTAGGAGTTTAGAGGTTCAGGGTTTAGGGTTTAGGGTTTGGGGGTTTAGGGGTTTAGGAGTTTAGAGGTATAGGGTTTAGGGTTTAGGGGTTAAGGGTTTAGGGGTTTAGGGGTTTAAAGTTGAGGGTTCAGGGTTTAGGGCTCACTACTGACAATGGCGCCGATAGTCGCCTAGCCCAGTTGCTAGATCAGGAGACTCCACTGTACTAAGTTCATGTTCGTACCGTATGAACAAAGGGATTGTCTTGGGAGAGCCCTTAACCGAAGCCGTAACCGCCAGTCAACACTCTCAACCTGCCAAAGCTGCAGAGCTGCAACCCTTGAAAAACAAGAGGCCGAACTAGTTCAGCCTTTCTGGAAGACCCATCATCCTTCCTAAACGTGCTGACCCGAAGAGCCACATTCAAAACAATCCTACAAGCTCGACTAGAACAATCCTCAAGTCACGCCAAATCCCGCCCTAACCTGCACCTTGATACCCTAGTAACTCTACAACCCCATAATGCAGGGGTCAAAACACTTACCAATGATATTTTGGCCCTACAATACCGAAAAGCCACGTGCCTTGCTTGAAGCGACCGGTTCTTCCGTGGAGCCGACTGCATCTGAGCTTAGCCAATCGACGTCTGCCGGGGACCCATCTTGAGGCCTTGGGGAATTTTGAGGGCTTCGGTTTTAAGGTAAGGGGGGTTTAGGGCTTGTAGAGTTTAGGGTTTAGGGTTTATAGGGTTTAGGGTGTAGGGTTTAGGGTTACGGGTTTGGGCGCCGAAGTTTTGAGCAAGATGTTTTCTTTTTGGAAGCTGATTTCGAATCCGGGGGCTTGGGCTGGGGGCTGTTGGCTGCTGGGGGATGGGAGGGGCGTGGGGTCGGCTTGGGCTGATTTGGAAGAAGGTTGGGCTGGGGGCTGGCGGGCTGGGCTGCATTTTCTTCTTGCAACAGGCTGGGCTGAGCCTGGGTTGCAGGCTCGGGGCTGCGTGGGGTGGCGGCTGAGATTGACGGTGTAAGGGGTGCAAGCTGCACGAAAACGTTCAATTTCTATTTACGCTTCATCCTCGAGAGTTTCGGGTTTAGATCATGTCGATGTAGTGCTCGGGTTCTTCTCGCGCCGAGATTGGAGATGAGACCAAGGTTGGCTTGAAAGTTTCTTGCTCTTAAGGCTTAAGGTCGTTTAGGGTTTAGGGCGAAAGGTTCGAGCTTATCTTCTGGAGTGGTTCTATGAGTTCCTACCATGGAAGGGGTCCAAAAGCCCTTTGTTAGCACTTCAACCGGCTTTCGTCTTTCGGTTCTGGAAATTTCGGTTTGGCTAACACCCTAAACCCCTACACACTAAGCGCGATGCGCTCTCCGCTTAACTGCTTAACGACTTGTTTTCAGTGCGACGGAATGGCGACTTTGGGCGTCCAAGTCTTAATGTGTGGATCGACCCATGCAACATGGTGCAGATCTGTGCTTGGTACACCCGGAACCCTAACCGCACACCCCTAATCCTAAGCCCTAAACCCCGAGCAGTTGAAGTTGCTTCGAACCCCAATATACAGAGGCCTTCGCAGCTCCACAAGGGCTTGGAGTTCATCATGATATGTCGTGAACTTCTAGAGAATACAGGGAAATATTACAGTTTCAACACATGCACATGACTTTTTTTGCTTGGCTTAGGGCTTGGGGGCGCAGGCTCGAAAACAACAAACTCGCAACCAGTTCAGTTTGAGGACAGATTCGTGATAGTATTTGTTTAGGGTTTAGCGTTTAGGGTTTTATTATTTCACTGTCCAGAACACCTCCAAAGTTCGAAAGCAGTCCGAGACATGCTCCGACAATTTTTGCAAAGCTGCCACGAACAACAGGAAACCATCTGCCAACCCCATTGCCATAGAGCGCTCCCTCCCAAACGAGAACAAAAGAATCCTCACATTATTCCCACCTTAAACCTCCACCATGGGTACTGTAGCATCCACGTCGTACCCAGTACAAAGTCATTACCCAAAACCCCTGCGCTGGGGCCTTTCTGCCTCGGGACCCCCTAATCATGAGTTTAGGCCTAAACCTTAAAAGGAAGTAGGTTTGGGTGGCTGGGCCGCCTCAGACGGCGTGGGGTGGGAAAGACAAAAAACATGCACTGGACACCACGTTGTCGCAAGACGCTGTCGCCTAAAACACGCACAAACCCTAAACCCAAAGCCCTCAACCCTAAACCCTAAACCCCCCAAAAAGAGCCCAAAAATTAATCCTAAACCCTAAAAAGAGCCTATATTATAAGCCCCAAAAGCTAAAAAGTTCGGTGACCGGGCCCCCGGCACCGCCGCCTCGGCTTCTTCGAGGCGCCGCTGCGCCGCGGCGAGGCGGCCCAAAGCGGCAGCCAGGGGAGCCTCCGGCTTCCAGGGATGTGGGGAGTTAGGGAAAATTAGGGATTTAGGGTTTAGGGTTTAGGGTGTGGGGAGTTTAGGGTCTCAACGAATAGGGATTTTGGGGTTTAGGGTTTAGGGTCTTTAAGGCTTCCAGGGGTGTGGGGCGTTTGGGGTCTACCTGGACCCCGAAAGTATGTAGAATAATGGCCGTTTATAGGCTTTGGGCCATTGTTTTACCTATTTGCGGGGAGTTAGGGTCGAACAGTTTAAAGATTTTGGGGTTCGGGGTTTAGGGTTTAGATTTAGGGCTTCGGGTCGAAAAGTTTAGGGATTTTGGGGGGTTTAGGGTTTAGGGTTTAGGATGTGAAGGTTGAGGGCCTTGTGGGTCTAGGGTTTAGGGTTTAGAGCTTTTGAGGGTGTAGGGTTTAGGGTTTAGTTGAGGTTCTGGGTGTCTAGGGCTGAGGGCTTCTAAGGCGCAGGGTTGAGGGTCTAGGGGCTTCAAAGGTTCAGGGTTTAGGTTTTTGGGGTTTATGGAACTGTTATTGTTGTCGTGGTGTGTCGAAATGGATCGGTTGCTTTTGGCAGGTGTTTTGCCCTGAACTGGTCTCCCTTGCACTTGCCCCGGACCCTGCTCCGCCCTCCCCACAGCCCTGTCCTGTCCTAGTCCTCCCAGACCTCTTAGTATGGTTTAGGATTTACTTAGGCCATCTGTGAAAGGGATGGCTAATCGCTCTAACCCTAAACCCTAAAACTTAAACCCTAAACCCTATAAACCCTAAACCCACACATCCCTAAACCCCCGAGATAAAACTTCCCAGCCTCCCCCGCCAACTCCGACTCCA